TGACGACAGGTCAGGTCCATATGAACAGGATCCTTCTTCCATCCTTTTCTCGGACTGGGATCTGTTCATATACGTTCTTGGCAGATGATCCAGCAGTGGTTTGCCATTGCCTTCTTCTGTGTGTGAATGGAGTAATTGTTGGGATGCCACGGAGGAAAACTCCGTGTTGCCTAGACCACGGCCTTGCCCAACACAAGTTATAAATTCGGGCACCGCCGAGAATCGAACCCGAGACCCCAGGATTACAAGGCCAGCGTTCTAACCGCTAGACCACTGTCATATGATTAAATAAATACACAAATTTTACTATATTTACTCTGATTTACACAGTGTGTATTCTGGGTTTCCACTATCCAAGTTCACCCCAATAGTGGCATTTGAATGACAGAAACTGTGTCAGTCCTAACCAGGATGTGGGCTGAGATTTGAACTAATTATAATCATAGTTATGGAGCAGTGCTAACAACTTTTATGCAATATTCAGTCTACTCTGTTAGTGGACAGTGATCGTTATAGTACAGGTTGAAGTTTGCGAACCCTTCAGTGCCTCATATTTAGCATGTTTAATGTGGGAGGGGGGGATATATGCACGTATGCATGCATACAGTGAATGCTCAGCGGCTTCAATTTTTTTGGTATGTTGTCCTGCCCAACCTGTTGAAAACTTAAGATTGTATAGGAGCAAAATGTGAGTTTGTCTAAAATATTAATATTCTCCATCTGTACACATTAATTTCACTTTGTCTTGTGTAAATTTTGTTGTGGCCATCTTGTTCAAAGCGCTCAGTATGGAAAAAAGTACTACTGCAATACTGTGCATTAGCTGAGAGCCAGTCGCTGATTTGCTGTATACTACATTTGTAAAGGCACTGTAATAATGAACAGTCACATTTAGAAATAAAGTTTGGGAATGAGGCATAGGGTGAAGGAAAATAAAGAAAGAAAGAAAGGAAAGAAGAAATAATACAAACTAAAGAAGATTGATATTTTCAAGTAGGACTATAATAGTTGTGCAGGACTGCATGACATTACAAGATGCGTTTTCATGGGTTCTGTTAAAAAATTTGATGTCTTATCATTTTCAAGTGGCTACTTGTTAATTACTTGAATTTTTTTTGCACAGGACCATTGTCTTTTGATAGTGTCATTATTCTGAGATGTGATGGAATGAGAGTATATATAACATGAAATTATCACAAGTTATAGAACAAAAGTCTTATATGGTCATTAACTTTTAGTAAGAGCCATTAATATTAATATTATGAAATTATATTAAACCAGAGCAGTTTCTTCATGTCAGTAGAAACTGAAAGTTGATGCTTCTATTTGAACTTCAGATTTTAGCCATGTGCATACAATTTACAGTTTGAATTGTGTAATCGTACTGTTTAGATTTTATGTGACATGCAGAGGCTCCCAGCAGTTGACCCAAACTGGGCAGACATGTTGATGTTGTCAGAGAGCATTAATTGCCTAAGCTTTTTACATGAGAAATATTATTAAAATCACAGTGTGCATTTTAGTTATGGTCAACAGTACATATAATGTATGATTTGATTTTACAGACTGTTATTGAAGATGTAGAGAAAATCTTGGATGATGCAGATGGTATAACCTCAGTACATGGCAGGTACTACCTCCTTGCCAGCCAGTTTTATCGCCTGCAAGGGAAGCACGCGGACTATTACCGGACAGCACTAAGGTTAGCCGTCGTTCATGCTCACTGTGTAAATGTGAAATCTCGTTTGTTTTTGAGAAAGCCTTTGGAAGTAAATATTGGAAGATGGGCATTCTAGCAGATTAATTCTGAGAACAAATACACCTCTTTCAGAAGAAAAGAACATGAACAAGTAGGTAGAATGGGAAGAATTTAAATTACAGAAACATATCTGTCTGGTTCTGTTGATCACCTGGTGGTTGGTGGCTAATCCAACTACAGGATTGATACCTTTTGTTCATTTTAGTAGGCAAACCAGAATTTCCTATACCACCAATTTAGTAGTTATTCATTTGTGATTTGGTTGTCGGTTTCACCCTTTATGACCAAAAATAAATGAAGAAATTTTGGCTCAACTCTTGATTTTATTGCAGGTACCTGGGTTGTGTGGAACTGTCTGATCTGAGTCCAAGTGAACAGGAACAACATGCTTTTTTCCTTGGTCTTGCTGCCCTTCTTGGAGAAGGTGTATATAATCTTGGAGAGTTGGTGAGTAGAAGAGATGAAAAGATAATACTAGAGTTAAGGACATATATTCATCGCTCATCCTTTCTTGATGTCAGAATTGTTTCATCCTTGTGCATATAAATGTTGCCCTCAGTGGACTAGTTGTTAGTGTGATGTCACTGGACCTAAGGATCGTGGGTTCAAACCCGGCCGATGGCGATGAATTTTTAAGGATGATAAAAATCCGTAGCACTACTTCCTTCGGAGGGGAAGTAACACTGCCGGTTCCGTGTTGTTGGTTTGTGGCATGAACAAGATGTTTCGTAAGCAAACTTTCTCACCCATGTCTCACCTGATTTTCTACTAGAAGGCTCTAGCAGACAAATCACAGATGCACACTTCAAAGACTAGGAAACCTCCCACATGGGAGGAGGCCAAGGCCCGGACTTGGGTTGTAGTTTCATTGGATGGATGTGCTATAAAAATTTTATTTTTAACGTAGCACGTCGAGAACTAGGCTTATGCAGTACGAAAAATCTTGTACACCAGCATTAATTGCATTGTTTCACTGACAGCCATAAAAGAAGCCATTTTCAGTATGATTACAGAGTGTTTAAGATATGTACTCTTGCCCAGTACCTAAATAAAAATACCAAATTTTCTACAGTCCAGGCCAAAGCATTACAATTGATGAATCTCTCTTGCTTTGGAAAGGCCAGCTTTTATTCAAACAGTACATTCCTTTGAAGGCTGTTGAATTTGGTATAGAAACTTTAAAAGTCTGTGAATCAAGTACAGGATATTTGTGGTTACTCTTGGCAGATAAAGATGGAACTACCAAGCCCACTGATAACCTCCCCAAAAATGAAACAGCAGCCTTCATGCTGAACCTGATTGAACCTCCTTGTTCATATCCATACATTGTAGATGGACAACTATATCAGTTCTCCTGATCTGTTATGAACTGTGTTGTTATCGTATGTGTGTGACAGAAAAATGTCCCATCTTGTGTTGAAACAAAAACTAACGACAGAGAAACTGTTTGGCAACATTCAACCAATGTGGCAGTCCTTGCTTGGCAGGACGAGAAGAGAGAGTCTTATTTCGAATATCATTAAAGGATGGGAAGGAAATAAAGCGTAAGGTGTCCTTTGATTGCAATGCCAACATGGAAAGTGTCGATTTGAATGATCAAATGTTGCAGCCCTGCCTTTTGTGACATAAGAAAGGGAACAAGTGGCAGATCATGTTTTACAAACATGATAGTACTTTTTAGGGCAACAATAGGCATTCAAAAGCTGGATCATTTGATTTTCAGATTGGCACTCATTAAAGGCCTCAGAGAATCACACAGCTCTCTAGTGCCATGACCAGTGTATGGTTGCCCTTCTATTGAATCTACACCAAAAATGCTTATAGAATGGTACTTTTTTGAGAAGATTCCTGCTTCAGATGAAGAGGCCAAACCTTGAACATGGTATGTCATTTGTGCTAGGCAAAATAGCAAAAAGGTTAACATATTGGTAGCCAGAGTGTCAAGTACTGCTCTGTCTACAAGAATGCTTCTGATCTGTCATACAAGACTGAACGTTTAGGCAAATTCCAGAAATGTAATACACAGAACAGGGAACAAAAATAAGATAAGATTAAGTATGACGTTTCATACATAACATACTTAAAAATTTATGAGTTTATGTAAGTAGGTGATGAGCTGTTTGAGTTTGACTATATCACTGTAAAAAGTGCCCAGACATTTAAAACAGTACTGTACTATGAAGAGCCACGGTGGTCTAGCGGTTAGAACGCTGGCCTTGTAATCCTGGGGTCTCGGGTTCGATTCCCGGCGGTGCCCGAATTTATAACTTGTGTTGGGCAAGGCCGTGGTCTAGGCAACACGGAGTTTTCCTCCATGGCATCCCAACAATTACTCCATTCACACACACAAGAAGGCAATGGCAAACCACTTCTGGATCATCTGCCAAGAACGTATATGAACAGGTCCCAGTCCGAGAAAAGGATGGAAGGATCCTGTTCATATGGACCTGTCGTCAGACAGAACACTAAATAAATAAAATAAACTGTACTATGGTTTTACATGGTGAGAGGTTAATACTGCTTTGTGGTATGATACAATTGAAAACAGTCTGCTTTGTGGAGTGGAAGAAGAGATGGTCATTTTTCGAAACTAAACTACCACAGTTTCTTAGATATGCAGTGTCTGTTTTAAATTCTTGGCATTTCAGCACACTCTAGTTGTGTGTATGTAAGACAGAAACATCTCCGCTAATGTTCACACTACTGGTTCCATGCATCAGAATAGAAAAAAACAAAACAATAAAATGTGAAGTGAGTTAGAATGCAGTGTTATGTTTTTTGGGCTGTGGGACGTGGTTATGTATATTGCAACATTGTGGGTCTCAGCATGAGTGTGTTAATACTTACGTTTTACGTAATTTGGTTTTTCCTTTTATTTTTTTTTGTGGAATTTTTGGAAATGAAGATGAATATTTGATATGCTGTATATTTTGTGGAACAGTTGTCAGTGATGTGTAACATTTACTTGTGACAGAACTGTTCCCTTCATTGCAGCCAAAATGGTAAGTAAGCAGTTCTTAAATTGCATTGGAGAGTATGCTCAGGAAGCAGTGTGTTTATGTTTCAGTTGGCTCACCCAGTGCTGGAAACTCTTAAATCTACAGACAAAGCATGGTTGGTAGACCTCCTGTATGCTTTCAACACTGGAGACATTGTTCTGTTTGAGAAGATGAAGCCCCAGTGGTCCAGTATTGCTGACTTGGCAGCACAGGAGCTAAAACTACGACAGAAAATTTCTCTTTTGTGCTTGATGGAAGTAAGAATTTCAGAAATATTTGCTTTTCTAAGTAGACACTCAATCTTATGTGCAGAGGACGAGAACCATTCTTTCTTTGTTTCCCCACAAAATGTCTGAATCAGACAAACATCCAAAGATGCTTCAAACGTACACCTACTTCTGTTGTCACTTTTTCATAAAATCCATAGTTCCTTATTGTTATTGGGATACTGATGGTTTTACTCTTGAAAGGAATAAAGTTTAATCTGTTCTTAAAAATATCCATTGGCTTACGAGATTTTCATATTTTTTATTGGAAAGAATGCAACTCCTTTGAAGAGTTGTATATGTTGTAACAAAGCTGTATTCCATTGTAAAACTAGGTCACGCTGTACCCTCAGCTTGCCATGATAGGGAGCCTGACTCCCGCTACTACAAAACTGGTATGACTAAGAGTCCACCTGTAACCGTTATTGGCCTAACAAATGCATGAAGTTCTGTTGTGCGTTCCAATTGCAGGAAGGCTACGCAGACTCAGTTGCGCAAATTATGAGGTTGGATTGTATATGTATCCATGTTTGAAGGATTACCATGCAAAACCGAACTTGTAACTGTTTTCCAAGTGCAGCAAATTTTCGCTTATGTACTATGTATTTTAATTTCAGAAAAACAAACTTTTTGAATGGATATGTGGCTTTTTTAAAAAATAAACAATTCTTTTGGGCTAACCTGTTTTTGTTTCTATGAGCATACCTTTTATTTCATAATTTTAAATATAAGTATAAAAGGTATGTATCATTTTTTGTAAGGAAACATCTTTTTTATTTAAATGGCCAGAATTATATCTGCCCAGTAATGGCTCTTTATATTCACTACAGTAAAGGTTAAGAATGTACAAAGCTTCACCTCCACACTACTAATATACTTTTATTGCACACATAATTTTAGTCTCTTGATATCCTCATTACAGATGACATTCAAACGACCTGCCACACATCGACAATTAACATTTGAAGAGATATCTCAAGAAACTCGATTGCCTGTGAATGAGGTTGAATTGCTGGTGATGAAGGCTCTAGCACAGGGATTGGTACGTGGTGCTATTGACCAAGTGGCCAGTAATGTCCACATGACATGGGTGCAGCCCAGAGTGCTAGACAAACAACAGGTATTTTAAACAAATACAAGTTTCATTTCAGAACTAGTTCTTCTTACAATCATTCATGCGTATTGTGCTGTTAAGGTATTAAAATCAAGGAGGTTACAGTGGTCTTAACATGTAGCGTGAGGGCAAGTGAAAGGCCATAATGCAGATTGGTTGCTTGGAGGTTGGATTATAGCAGGATTCATAGTTTTGATGGGAGAGGCAACTACGTAGGGCAGTCAAAAAGTTCCCGGAATTGTGGTATAGCACTGTAATGGTAGGACATATGGCAACGCTTACCTAATCACCTTCAAAGTAGGACCCTTGCGCGCACACACACACTTGCTCCATCGATCCTGCCATCATTGGAAGCACCGACAGAAGGCTTCGTTTGGAATCTTCCGGAATCGGCCATCGCATTCGACACCTCGCTGGTTGTGCAGCAATTCCTCGCCAAGAAAAGCATTCCTGTCATCACCCAACCACCATACTCTCCAGATCTCGCTCCGAGCGACTTCTGGCTGTTCCCTACTCTGAAAATGGGCCTCAAGGGGACACGTTTCGCAACCATGGAGGACATCAAATCGAAGCAAGAGTGTGTGCGCAAGGGTCCTACTTTGAAGGTGATTAGGTAAGCGTTGCCATATGTCCTACCATTACAGTGCCATACCACAATTCCGGGAACTTTTTGACTGCCCCTCATAACTGTCCCTGCTGCACATCATGTGTCATTAAGTCAGCGGTGGTTTGTATTATACTAGTAGTAATGCAATGTAAGAAGAAAGGATGTATCATGTAGTTATGGTTTGTATTGTGCTAGTAGTAATGCAGTGTAAGAAGAAAGGATGTATCATGTAGTTATCTGAAGCTTGTATTGCTTTACGACAGTTCTGAAGCTTTACAGTATTTATTCTCTTTTATGTTTGTTCCATGAATTTAGTAATTGTAGTGATTCATTTGGATTTTTTATCATCTGCACAGACATGCATGGAAATAGCGATGTTTTGAATACTTGAATCAATACTATGTAACACCTTTTCAGAATGTCTCGTCAGTGTGACCACTAGCTTTCACATTCTCACGCAAAGGTGGGATGGTTGGTTCTATATTGACTTATTCTTTCATGGTGACATAGTCCCCAACAAACTTTGTGTATATGCAATTGTTTGGAGCAACTCGAGGCACAAGAAATGTTAATGATATATTCAGTTGCCTGTTTAATGCAGTGGAAGGATAACCTTCCTTTGGAAAGGAGTCACTTCCATGACTAAATACAATGATACGGGTGAATAATATTAAAGTGGATCTCAGGGAAATAGTTTATATAAGTGTGACCTTGTTCATGATCTTGTCCAATGGCAAGCTTTGATAGTAGCAGTCTTAAGAGTCTGTTGATAGAGCAAATGATTTATTGCAGATCTCATCCATGGTCCAGCGTCTGGATTGCTGGTGTAAGGATGTCAATTCTATGGAGCTGCTTCTAGAAACTAAGGCTCATGAGTTCTTAACTTTGTGAAGTATTGCTTGTGCAGGAATGAGGACAATTTTCATATTTAATTCCCAAAACTACATTTGTAAACATGTTTAACATTAGTAAGGATAAGAGTATGTATCTTTACAGTGAGATATTAAAAATGTTATGCTAACAGATGCAAATGCTTTTCGTTTCCAAGAGGTGAACACAAGTATTGGCTGTTCCATATTCTATTCTGTTTGCTTTAATAATGAAATATGTTTAATGGAGAGATAACGCCCATTTGCATGAGCTATCTCCATAATTGCTCGGTGGACTTCTATGAAAATGGTAGTTGTCTACAATAAAGGTTGATGGATTAATTTCGTTTTTGTCTGTACCTGTCCAAAATAACCTCTAGTTGGATTAAACTTAAATCAGATGTCAGGTTATTCCATAAGTAGTAATTGCTTCAATGAAATTTGGTATGTTCACAGAGCCTGCTGAAAGTGCAAAGAAAATTTTCCATATGAGACTTCTGGTTCTTACGGTGGCGAGTATGAAGATAACAGTCTTCTGGTATATTGTGCTGTGTAGTCTTGTAGATGACGATTGTTTCAGACACATCGTCCTGATGATGGAGGCAGTACGCACCTCTCGATATTGGTCAGTTTCTTCAAGAATACATGGTGCAATATCCCAGAAGGCTGTCATTGTCAAAATTGTCTATTTTTAGGCTTTTTGAACAAGTTATATTTTTAAAATATGAAAAATTATCAAAATTTAATCCAATAATAATTTTAAACTGCCTATATTATGAAGCCTATTAAAGATATAGTAGTGAATGAGGTATAATTTTAAAGCTACTAGAATGATCTTTATAACATAAACTGTGACATCATCTTTGTATAGTTGGGTTCCATTTTAAATGAATCAATGTAACATATAACATGACTGTGAAGATGGCTGCCTTCTGGATTGTTGCGCTGTGTAGTCTGGTAGAAGTTTACTGACATATCAGAGGTCCCTGATGATACATGGTGCAACAACCCAGCAGACAGCCATCTTCAGACTCACCACTGTGAAAAGTTTTCATGACTTGAAGAATTGTTGCTAAATCTTTTGTGACCTGTGATTTGGTTGCATGGGCTGAGACCCTAGAAAGGGGACCTTCGCAGTTTTGTGGCATTACTCAGAATAGAACACAGCACTTATGTTGATACACAATAATGAAATTAACTTTCCTTTGTCAGAACGTATAGTATGAAATTAATATAAAAGATTTTGGAAATCACAGTTACAAGCAAAGGGATTGTTAGGGGCAGTTTTGCAGATACCTGCTTGATCAAGTTAGAAGAGAATGTATTTACATTCCACAGATCCTTCACAGGCCTAAGTCAAGGATGTAGAACATGTCATAGTATGAATACAATGCTTGCTTTTATTACAAATATAAATTACATAGTTATGACAGTACATAATTTAATCAATTATAGTATTACTGCAAAAATAATCATACAAGAAAGCATACCTACTATTGCTTACATATTGTAACGTGGGGCAGCATTGCTACCCTGGATTGTCAACCCTGATTTATTCATGTAAAATTAAATCAGTTACAGAGATCTGCACATACAGTCAACTCTCTACAACAACACACTTCGTGTCTCTGTTCTCTGCACACACACACACACTCTGTCCTCCGAGTCTATCTGGTCCCTCGAGTTCGGTGCTCTTCACAGTCTTCGCCTACACATCGGCCCGTAGCACCCCACTGGACACACGCTGGCTCCTCGGCCGCCATGGTCCACGTACCCGGTGCTCCCACACGTAGCCGACCCGTCCTTTCTCAGCGCCACACCAGACCTCTCGTTGGCTCCACTCTCTCGGCTCTCACGGCACACTTCTCTTACGCCCGATTCACAGCTCTGTTCTTTCCACACTCCCTTTCCAACAACTCTACTCTCAACACTCTCTCTTTCCAACCACACTAAAGCCAACCAACCAATCAAAAAGCTAACTGAGGGCGGAGTCCTGCGCAAGCGCAAGCATCGTCCCTACCTAGGTGACACCATACCTGCGCACAAGGCGTGTTGCTGGAAATGGTACAAGGTCTTAAACTAAAAAACGGAAATTTTGCTAACGCTAACGGGGTTTCGTCGCGCTTGTCAATCGGCTTTTATACGAATACAACACTGTCATTAAACAGACACAATTATAAACGAATACAACAATTCCAAAAGCAACAATGTCTATAAATAGACACAACAATGCCGAATACGACAATGCCAGATGCGACAATGTCAATAAACAGACAACTAAACTGTTTATTGGCATTGTTATGCTGCTCTCACGGCAACACGTCACAATCTTTACTATAAAAATTTGTGATTTCGTCGTCGTCAATAAATTACGTCATCAGCAATGTAAACTATAAACAAACTCGGCATTGTTGTGGAACACGACAATGCCGAGTACAACACAACAATGCCGAGTTTAGTGTCTTACTCAAGATTTTAAAACGCAACCAACCCCCCCGAAGGGGTTCCTTGCTTTTTAAAAACTTAAACAACCCCTCCGAGGAGCTCCGAAAGGAGCGTTCTGCCCTAGTGTATTTATAATAGTTGAGAATTTCCGGTTGTGCTAAATTCTTGTATGGAGTAGGAGTGATAATAGAATATACTCTTTTATTGCTGGCTTAACCTTATTTAAATCGTGATTCAAACTGAATAGTGGGAGACGTTTATTGAATAGCTTAATTCCAGTATAGTAAACTCCTTTTTGATATTTGCTGATTTAGATTGAACATTTTCTATGTTGTCTACTACAAATGATAATAATGGATCAAAAATTTACTGGTTAGTGGAATAATACTACATTTCTTTAACAATTCCCCACAGGAGGTTCTAGTGCCTGACATTCCAATGTTAATTTATTGGCCAAGAAATGTAGTTGTTTCTACCTTTTAAATTGTTTTATCCTCATACCTTTTACCTAGATTAACACAATTTTTGTTGACAGTATAAAACTTTATGAAATTTGCTTTGTTAAAATGTAATGTGTTTATTGGCTTTAATCCATTTGCTTAAGGCCTTGTTCACATTACGCGCTTGTTTTTACCATAGAAGTTCGCAAATACATCATGCAAACTTGGAAGCTGTCAATTTCTCGATGTGAAATAATATAATTTACAAAAGGCTGGATTTAGACTGAGTTAATAGTTGGCGGTAAGGCGGAAAAGCAGTGGACCAAGTGTTGTTGCGTATATCTTTTAATTTATTTATAAAAAATGATCAAGACCTTATAAATATGAAATTGAATCCATTATTATCGAAATATCTTGTTCAAATTACGTTATTTATTTTATATCTCAAATACAAACTCTGAGTTGATCTAACCGGCGGAACCGGCACAAGCTTATAAAATGTTTTCTAGGCTCTTTAGACACTTAAAATGTGTGGTTTGTGTGCCTTAATAGCTACGCATGCGACTTTTCATTCAGAAAATAGCGTTTTATTTCAATAAGTAGCGTAATTCGAAAACGTGGATTTTTGTCTTGGTCGTCTTTGCAAATGTTAGATCTGGCTTTGTGGGGGGGGGGGGGGGGGGGTTTTGGAAAATGCAGGCACCAACGTTTGGGAGTAACATATACCTCAATCTACAGTGCTGGAGTCAACATCGGCAATAAGTCGAATTAATTGCATACTCTCTCCGCGTTGAATGTTGATCTGGATTACGAACGGCGTATGATGTGTTTCAAAGCCATAACCTGCCCTTCCATTGTATATACATTTTAATTTCTTTCGCGATCGACTGGATGGTGGAAAAACCGCGATGGATCAAGATAGCTTATACAACGACTATGATGCTACTAGTTGTAAAATGTGGTACTAATGATGTCTGTGCGTGTTGCAAACAGTTTAGTGCATATTTACATGAAAATAAAATAAGCTTCAACACTTACGCGCATTAATTTGTGATTTGAATCGAATTTTATAGTTGTTATATTGGAAGAAAAATGATAATAGATGATCCAGAAGCTTTTAAATCGTGGCTGACAGCAATACTGGAACCTTTGTAAGTAGGACAACGCAACCAAACATTCTACATTAATAGTATAATTTGAAGGATTGAACCTGTAGATGAAAAACAACAGTATGCTCTCTGTTGTATACCATTTAACTTTGATTACATCATTTACACAACATTTTAATTATATGGACGTAGTAGGAATTTGTAACTTTGAACTTACTGTGCCTAGCCATTGGAGCAAATTATTGTATAATAAAACCACATTGGTTCTTCTCAGTTACTTATATAAATCATGTAATTTGTGGAAATGTGTATTAGATCTCACAGTTTATAATGAAAGTTTTCTGTTGAACACTGATATGAATGATTCTTTTTTACTTTAGAATGTAAGGACCTTAGTTGTACCGTTTACCTGTAATTGCTAACATTTTCACAAACCTTAGAGAAAAGTGTGGAATGCTGAGGCTAAAGTTACTTAGTTGACGTAAAATTATCATGGATTAAAATACAAATGAATAAAAGAGCTAGGCATGATTTTGCTGGGGTAAATCCCCATTGTTATGTTGTGCTGTCATTTACAATCTAGCAATATTCCAGCCTTCTCTTATCAGTATTTGCGATATTAAAATAAAAGTGAACCCTTTAAATGTAAAGCTTGCCTAAATAATATGTAATAATCCACTCTACATCTCAAAGAAAACAATACGCTTTACCATTGCAAAAATCTACTGGTTAATGCTGTTTAAAGTAATAAAGCCTGTTTACACTGAGAAACTCATAAATAAAAATGCAGATTTATTGATTCTTAAAGCAGGTGGTACATATTTACCGCTAATCTTTATAAAGAATTAATATTCAGTCTTACAGTGTCTCAATCACAGATCACATTCATCACAGCATTGAGTGATTTAGAGGTCACACAAAATGCTGAGATGAAGCAACTTTATTCTAAGTGTCTGATAAGGGTTCAAAAGTTATATCTGTTTTTGGAGGGAATCTGGCCATCTTTCCTTCATGGTTTTTTTTCCACCTCCACATATTTTAGATGGTACTCTGGTAAGTCAGCGTGTTTGACATCAGCCTGCTGCAATAGCCATTCTTGACCAATATTAGACTTGTGAATGGAGGAATAGTCTCGATGGAACTAGATTACCCCATCAGGATAAAGCACTCATGCAGATGGTAACATTATGTACTCTAAGATGTTCTTGTGTTGAAGGCCATCTGGGTTTGCTTCTGTATGGGGTATTCCAGCTCCCTCATTAGGTGAACGAACCCCAACAATGAACGGACACATGACCACTACATGTGGAGGTCGACAGATATTGAGAGTTAGAATGTTCTCCCTATGGTCTATAAACTAAAACTGGCCCATTAGGTGCCAAGTTAAATCTAGTTTTGTCAGCAGGATATAACTCTTATCACACTGGCACTCCACACTGTTGTCAGCAAATACTGGGTGATATAGTTATGTTATTGGTAGGTTTAGCATTCACCGTAACATGTTGTGCCATGACACCAGCTTCTTTTAGTCTTTTACTCTTCTGTCCAGGAAAGTTGGTAGCAACTTTTAGCTCCCTTGCATATTCAGAAGGGTTCCTTTGAACTTCAGCTCCATCAGACTAAGGGGTATAACTTACCATTGCACTTTCAGTCATAAACAAACAATATACACAGGATATCTGTCAAAGTATGCTGTATGTGAGCCCTTCCCGAATCTCAGTTACATAAATCAGCCATAGTCCTAATAATGTTTAACTCAAATAATAAGTCAGAAATAATATGTAACCCACAATTAACTCTGAACATCTTATTAAAGATACTAAACCTTAAAACAATCATTTTGAGGGTTAATATACTGAATCATGTTTTGTATAAGTAATTACTATACTTTACAAGACAAAAATGCTACTGAAGTATGTTCTTTGCAAATAAAATTGTTCGTCTGCAGTCAGACTTGAATACAGAAACTGTAAGTTACAATGTCGGTGAAGAACAAGTAATGGAGAAATGGAAGAAGTACCTGCCTCCTCATTTCTACCCTTGCCAATGTAGCATGCATAGTACTGTGATAATACAAATGGTAATACTGACAATTATCTGTTGCTCATTATCTAAAAGTTACTGGACTGTGTGAGCTTTACAAACAAGCAACAATTAGATATTCTCGTTTGAATATCACAATCTCCATATTTTGGTATCTGTTTCCAGTTGCTGTTGGTATAGTTCCACACAGAAGTTTTGAAACATATAATTGAATAATATGCAAGCACACGATTATATTTAGTGTTTGTGCAAACACAGCATACAAGGAAGAAAATGCAGACATCTGGTTACAAACTCACAAACATAATAATGACTTCAGCAATAGCTCCCAACACTAGTGACAGTTGGGTTTATTGGGTTTTCGGACTTTGTTGATCATCTAAGGTTAAAATGTGTATGACTTTTCAAAAACCAGATTTGTTTTTGTCTTCAGGTATATGGGACAGAGGTACCTGATCTGTTGGGTTCATTAGAAAGGGCTAGTCTCAATCACTGGACCAGAAGAGAAAAACTGATTTGGTTTTTGAAACGTCGTGCACATTTTAACCTTCGATGATGGACAAACTGTATCACACCAGAACCCTACAGAATCCACTAGTGACTTACCTATGGTGTCCAAAAACTCGATAAACCTGACTGTATCACACCAGAATCCACTAGTGACTTACCTATGGTGGAACACAGTTAACTGAGCAGAATATAGCCTTCAGCTTTGTTCTTTCATCAGAGTTTGTCACTCGGCTCAGAAAACTCATCAACATAATTTACATTTTTCTTCAAATTAGACAGACATTGTTGGTGTATTTGCTTAATAGACATCTGTCTTAAGGAGTTGTAATTAATGGAAGATGGGGAAAAGCCACATATAGACAGATACAAGTGATTACAAATGACTGGAATTATGATGCCAGCTGTACACTTACATCACTTCTAGTCTGGGACTTTGAAAATTTCAGGAACTTGTTTTTTGTTGTACAGAGTGTACATGTTGTAGAAGCCATTTTCAGGTTGATGATTCCTGAAGCTATATAACATTTCTGCATTATCTACCCAGTCATTGTATCCATCTCTGTGAGTGATACCAAATCGAAGTGAATGCAACTATCACATTAACTTTGAGCTAGGCTGGGTGACCAGAGTTTAATCAATCTGTAACTAGTGGAAATATTAACTGTTATAGTAAGTAAGTAAAGTATTATAATTCTTTAATTCATGATTAGCCTGGTCAGCATATATGCACATTTAACTTAAATTTTAATTTCATAAATAAATGTGGACCGCCACGGTGGTCTAGCGGTTAGAACGCTGGCCTTGTAATCCTGGGGGTCTCGGGTTCGATTCCCGGCGGTGCCCGAATTTATAACTTGTGTTGGGCAAGGCCGTGGTCTAGGCAACACGGAGTTTTCCTCCGTGGCATCCCAACAATTACCCCATTCACACACAGAAGAAGGCAATGGCAAAACACTTCTGGATCATCTGCCAAGAACGTATATGAACAGGTCCCAGTCCGAGAGAAGGATGGAAGGATCCTGTTCATATGGACCTGTCGTCAGACAGAACACTAAATAATAATAATAAATAAATGTGCTAGGACTGTCTAAAAGGCATGAGTTGCAGAGTAAGAAAATAAAATTTCCTCCTGAAACTTGTCAGATTCAGACTGAGGTGCACCATTTAAAATCAACTTGTAAAAGAATATAAAAACAAAGATAATTTTTATACCTTACTTTTAATAATAGTCACTTTGTTACAGTTAAGAGAAACAAATTACTTAACTTACTTGTACCGATTGACATGGAAAAGGAGTGAATATTTTCTATCCAGCACAACCCTCTTAAACACTCTCCTCATCCAACACCACCGCAGTTCACAAATTATTTGTATTTATATTATCTATTCTGCATCTGACCGGACCAACAAAGTACAGTTACAATTTAACACCTAACTTACAAAGCTTTGCTAATGGAAGACTGGATTTTCTTGGAAATCAGTTACTACTGACATCTAAATTCATGAGATGAGTTAAAGGGTGTGTATATCTCTTGTCACATCATTTTATATATACCGTGGATTCTGGTTAATTGGGACATATCGGGACTAGAACACTTTGGCCCAATTAAGCTGCTGCCCCAATTATGCGAAGTTCTACGTAAAGAGTTAAAAAAGTTTATTCTTTAAGATTTGTTTAAAATAAATGGCTGCCCTGATTAACTGATAGTCCAATTAACCAGAATCCACTATATATATATATATATATATATATTTCCCACTTAATATTTGCAACAGAAACATTTGTAGCTATGTCTGTCGAGAATGTCGAAATAAGTGCATTTTGTATTGCGTCTTATTTCAGAGGTACACTATGTTAACAAAAATTGTACTTCAGAACAACTGTGAACCAGTTTGAACTGGTTCATAAGAAGTATTGGTTCTGGTTCATGGTTCAGATCAGGCAAAATTATGCGGTTTGGTTTTGGTTTGCAGTTTATTTCATTTCAAAGCCTTATGATTCTTTGTACGTGTGCTTCATTCTGTGTGAAGGAATTAAAACATGAAGATGGCTGACTTCTGGGTTGTTGCGCCACGTTGTCTGGTAGAAGTTTATCAGCGTTTTAAAGGTCCATGCTGCCTCTGTCATCAGAGCGATGACTTCTACCACACTTCACAGATGCATTAAGGAAAGAAGATTGTTTTATCGTAGTAGAGAATAGTTATTTTTCATTCTTAATTTTATTTTCTCGGAACAGGCGTAATTTATATTTTCAAACCAAAAAATTACATATCATACTTTATTAAATACTGGAATTAATGAATATTTGTAAGCAGTGTAAAATTTATGTGAAAACAACAGCATTGATAACAATGTGGAGGTGCCTTAAATGGAGTGTGTTTGATATAACTTTCCTGATTTAAAGAGCTATATTGCGCACCCCCTCCCCCCTAAATTTAGTCTAAGTTCTGTTTAGTGAATGTGGCGTCTATGTAGATGAGTAGGAAGTTTGCTGTGTCTCTATCTGTCATCATGCCAAATTTAAACCTTTTAACAGTGCTTGAAATAGTCTCAGTTTTAAAGTTCATTGTATATATGTTGCAATAACAAAGAGATAAAGTAATTTGATTCAGAGATCTCCTATGACTTGGTGTTCACAGTGTTTCACAAAAATGAATCGGTTACTGCAAAGAATATTGAGATCCGTCACTGAATTAAAGGATGGGCTGATAGATACATGGACACATGATTCCTTCAGAACCCTAAATGTATGTAGGCTTTCACCTGGCACAAACATTTACTACATAAAATGTTATAAACATTTTTTTGTCTGTATTTAATGTAATATAAATAGTGAAGTATGGGCTGATATTGACCAGAGTGACCCATTTTAATTGTACTGATATGAATGTTGTACCATTGGAAGTCTCTCAACCTTCTTTACAATGTTACCAGTGTGGCAGCTGAAATAGTGTTTTGAGAGGGGAGCAACTGCATTATCATTTAAATAAGTTCCCTAAAATATTTTATAGTGGTTGATGTTTGAAAAATAGGCAGCTTTTGTAAAGGCTGTTTTTATGTAGGGTGCACAATAACGACATGGTGGTGCTGTACTGTTCATTTAAATTGTGATGACTGATGAGCTATTGTAATAAGGCAAGTGTTGCATGAATTTTTTGAAACAAACTGGAGACATTTCTGTGTTTTTGTACATATGGAAAATTTGGTTGTTACAAACATAGAAATGGTACTAAATTCTGAGGTTATTTTTGACATCTTTCAGGTGGTCGAAAATAATGCTATTGAAAATAATGCACAGAAAATGAAGTTGCTAATGAATGTGTGATTCCAGCTGGCCTCTCCATGAGATAAGAGCCTTTAGAAGAAAGGGAGTATCATAGTGAGAACTTCTTGTTGAAGTCCTGCAATTGTCATTCTTTCAGGTGCGATGCAGATCCCGCAGCCCTAGCAAAATATGTATTTGCTTTAGTGAAGAAGGACAAGCCTGTGGCTGACCTGAGGGCAAGTATGGTTGAACAGCTGGATGTGTTTCTTCAGAGTGGTATGTTTATATTCATTTGTTATGTTCATTTAATGTGATTCCTGACACATATTTTTCTGCATGAAGTATATTTATTTATAAGAATCATACTGTGGCAACTGCTCTTGTGTCCTTAACAAATACGCCCTTGTTTTTTATATGGGTTTAGGTATTTCAGGTAGGGAAGATTATGGTTTTTATTTGTGAAATAGCACTACTTTGACTGAAGTCAAAGTACAGGTGAGAAATCTTCAGGGCCCACACGGAAGGAGAATGTAGGATGAATATGTGGGAGTCCGGGAGGTCCACTGTAGCCCATACAAACTGACAGAGTAATTAGGGAAATGGGTGACATGAAACATGATTCCACTTTGATACTTTGGAATGAAACACTTGTAATAAAATCATCCTACATGAGAATGAGTAAGCAACTGTAAGACCTGTTTTGCATGGGAGTGATTGAAAACTAGCTGAATTTGTGATGCTCATGCAAAGATGTATCCAAGTGATTGGCTGGCCAAAATAACCGGAAACCATCTTATTTACTACTCCAACTTCTTGACTCAAGTACATTAGACCTGAGCGAATAAGAAACGTTGCTGTTGGTTTTCTAAGTAGCGAGAGAACGCACGCTACCAGTGCCATTGACAAGTACAAAGGCAGGTAGTGTTCATGACTGGGTCTCTTTGTTCGTCTGAAAGCGTTTTAACTTCTTTGGCTATTGTGAACGTTCTGGAGAGAACTGATCACTAGATTCCAGCAGCCGTATGTTTGTTTAGTAAAATATTAACTTTAATTGTGAAAAATAAATAATAAAGTCAAGTTTAGACACTCGTCTACTGGGTTGTTTTATCGCGTAGTCTTGTAGTTGTATGCCAGCATTTTGGATGAAGATACTGATTCCATCCTCAGAAATGAAGTGAGGATGGTTGTTAATTGGTGGGTTATATACGGTTAGATGGAGAATCATGAAAATTGACCAATCGGAACTATGGGAGGAAGGAGTGTGGTTTGAGCCAAGTCTGTGCTAATAGGATCAAAGAACAAGATTTCAATTCTAGGGCCACTGGAAGGGAAAGCCTGGTCAAGAGAATGAAAATTTTTGGCCACATCGAGGAAAGTCAGATGAAGAGGAAGTGCTCGTATTTGCAGAGAGAACATATCTTCCATTGTTTGAGGATAAGAGGCTTCTATGACCTGCAAAGGAGAATCTATCCTCTCTTTTGAATTTGTTAGGATGTATCGCAGTTCTACGATAAAGATGGGGTTACAGTCAGAGTTGATTTATAACTAAGCTTCATTGACTGTGGCAACTGAAAATGAAAACTTTGTTCATACATTTGTGAATAGGTTGAAGTAAAGGTGTGCATGGTGTGTGGCTGTGGGTTCAAACAGCCTGGGTTTGATTCCAGGCAGGGTTAAGGATATTTCTGTCATAACCACTGTGTATAAACTTTCTTAGGGTACTCTCAGCATCCTCTCCACTAGTGTAATGGGCTGTTTCAGAGTGAACTTAGCCAGTGCTTAGGTTAAGTGTTCATGAACTTTACTTTTTATTCTAATTCCTTCTGCTGGAAGCTTTATGTTGTTAGTGTGTAATATTTAAATCTGATTAGCATTTTTATTTATAAACTAGCAGAGTGCTTGCATGATACTGTGAGGAAATTTTTACAAATGCTGACATATCTGATCAGACTTTATTGGCTGAAAGGTTATCATAGGCCTGATCATTAAATACTTATTTTTGAATAGCATAGACAAATTTATTATCTTTAATCCCAAGAGAGATTTGTTTTTTTTTTACAGTATTATCTGCATAAAATAGTTTCAGAGATATTTGTCAGGATTTTACCCATTCCTTCTGTTTGAGCGTAAATAGTACTTTGGCCTGATTTTCCCCATTTGATACACGCGTTGTGGGATGCAGAGCAGTTTTACGGCAAAGGCTATCGCCTTTGTGCCATTGCTGTGTTCGATGAGTATTGGCCATCATTTGGGTGATCACACAGGAAGGATATGCTCTATAGTGCAGATAGTAAATGATGATCTGTGTGTTTTTTAAAATGTTATTTATGAATGAATCGTACTCCTGATGATTGTATAAAAACTATTGAAACAGATGCCCTACAGCATTGTAACACTTACATGTCTACAAGCCTCATTGATGCTATTATGTAACCTGTGCTATCGAGGAAGTGTCACTAGATAAACAAAGAAAAAACAGTATAAACTTCTTCAGAAACTTTCCTTACAAATAAAAACTTCATGTGTTCACGGCTTTCAGTTAGAAATTATTATTCAGGTAGCTAGTAGCTACGTTTCTTGCAGGGAGATGTTGAACCACTAGTTTAAGTTGCTTCCTGTGCTGTAATATAACATTTTCCCAGTATGTTGAACTGTGACATTGTAAATAATAAAAATTGTTGGAATGTACTCACTTTTTGAGTGAATGTGCAAACCAGTACTTAAACTTACCATAAGCAGTGTAACAACTTCCTTTCTTTTTCATAACATATTGTTTAAAGTTCAGGAAGGAAAATAGTTTTCTTTTTCACAGTACAGTTACCACTACTTTGATACATAATGTGGCATTGTGTTACATCCTGTATATTAAAATGGAAGAGAGGAAGTTGTCTTCCTTATTTAGGGATATTTTATGGCTTAAATTTAAATTCTTCTCCCACAGAAACAAAGAAATTTGTAGATTTGTTATTCAAGACGCTGGAGACACAGGTGTATGATGTACCAGCTACATCTGCTGCGATGGTAGTACACCATACTGCATCAACAGATGTAGCACCAGTAATTGCCGTTGAGCCAGCTCCAGCCAAAGTACTTGTCACCAAACAGGCAGCAGAGCCAATATTGTCGGAGTCACAGAATACAGCTAATGCGTCCAATGCCCAGCCTGTAACTGGAAATCAGGTGAATGTCTGTTTAGTTCTGCGTCAGAATTTTCTAAATGGTCTGGACAAGTTGTTACTAATCCAGCTTCATGCTCAGGAGGTCCTGTTTGAAACACCAACCCGGAGATTGGCTTTCCTGAGGCTTTTTGTGATTTTACTCAGTCCCTCTGGGCAAATTCTTGGAATGTGTCGTAAGTTGGGTCACAGCTGTTTTCTTCCATAGCCTTTCAAATTTATTATTTACTATTTGATGCTGTGTGAGGCAGGGTAGCTCAGTCTGTATAGTGACTGGCTACAGACTGGATGACTGGGGTTTGATCCCCGATGGGGGCAGAGGATTTTCCTCTAGCCTTTCTGGGGCCCACCCAGCCTCCTGTCCAATTGGTACCGGGGTCATTTCCTGGGGGGTAAAGCGTGGCCGGGGTGTGATGCTGACTTCTTCCTCCCATCTAGTGCTGAGGTTAAGAATGAGTAGGAGCTATCTCTCTCCCCCCCCCCCCTCCAAAGGACCTACATGGCAAAAAGTGGGACAGCTTTTTTTACTTTACTTTTGCTGTTTGATGCTGTGTAACCAGAGTTATTGAAAGTATAATTAAATAAACCGAGAAGTGCTGTGGAACGTGGGTGGCTATCAGACTCCCACCACTGTACACACATGTTGAAGTGCCATGGCTGACTCAAGAATTTAATATCTGATCACGCTGCTGTCACGGTGTCAGAATTATGTTTGCCAGTGCTGTTTTCACTTGAAGAATGGTGTGTTAGAAGTTGGGGTTTGTACCTCAGCTGCTGATGTGTCACTAGTAGGCTGCAACCATATTTCTTCAAGCAGAACTTACATATTGCTATATATATAGGTTAATATCTTATCTGGAAGATTTAAAACTGTTCTTTATAGTTGACCAGTCCTCTCTCTCTCTCTCTTCCCCTTTGGAGTTATGTGGGTCTTGGGAAGGTTTTGATCTTCTGCTCTCATTCTTTGATTGGAAGGGAATTAGGATTAGCATAATACACTGGCGTGGTTATTTATGTGCAAACACCCACAAACGGTATGTTAACAAAACTCTTTATTCCTTACAGGTTTTTCACTCCTCTTTTAAAATGTTTCTGTAAGTGTGTCGTTAAACTATTATTATTATTAAGTGTTCTGTCTTACGACAGGTCCATTGCTCTGCCCAAAAAGAGCTCTCCAGTTGTCCCTATTCTCGGCTTCTCGTTTTAATTCCTGGAACGTCATCTTCTTTCCTTGTTTAAGGTCGTCGGTTAGCTGTATCAGTCTTCTTCCCAGTCCTCGCTTTCCTTCAACCTGGCCTTCGATGATATCACTCAGTAACCCATTCCTTCTCATAATATGTCCCAGCCAGTTAGCTTTCCTTCGTGTAATCGCCTGCAGAATGTTTCTTCGCTCGTTGACTCTCCTCAATACTTCTTCGTTGGTCACTCGATCCGTCCACCTGATCTTCTCTATTCTTCTCCAACACCACATTTCAAAACTCTCCAGGTATTTCTGTTCCTTCTTCCTGAGTGTCCAAGTCTCTGCTCCATACAGCGCGACTGCTCCTTAATAAAATGTTACAATTGTCATTCATTCCAGTAAAATAGGAGAAAACGTAATTTTCTGCAGTTTCCAGGTAGGTTCCAGGCTGGGTTGTCTGTTACTCAAGTGGGTTATGCACCTTGACTTGTCCTGGCTGTGTCTGTCAGCTTCTGGGCCTCTGTTGTTTGGATTCTGCGAACTCAAGCCCTTCCATTGTTGGTCCATTGTCTAATCCTGCCACCTTTACATTGTCCAGCAACCTGATGTTCGTCATATGCTCCTGCAATACCAACGTTTTCCCCCGAGTACCTTTTTTTCTTGGCTTTTAAACAGTTTCCTTTCCACCAGAGGGAAGACTGAGTCAATCAACTTTTGGATGTAAAGGCCGCCATTCACGATCGCTCCAGATGGATGACATCCGAATGGATGACGTCCAAACGGATGTCGTCCAAAGAGGTACTACATTCACGGTCGCGTCACGCCAGTCGCGGTTTGTTGTCCCTCT